TTTTTGAATTGGTGTAAACTAAACTTCTTATTTATGAATTTTTCCCATCATGTTACTTGAAGGTAGTGATGGCAACAGGTAAAAGCAGTTGCCGATGCAAATTTTGGTGGTAATAACAATTATTCAAACAGGAACTTTGAATGCTAAAGAAGGGAAATATTCTATATAAATGACACTTGGATATAGGTTAGTCGATCCAATAAGTCGAGAGAAGCCCGACAGATAGCGTGTTTAGCATGCAGGGGATTGAATTAAACATTTTGAACTGAAACGCGTGGTTGACGACAAAGTTAGGGAGACCTAAGACGTTGACGGGGTTTGGATGTGAGTTGAGTTGGGTTCGGAGGTTGATTTGGAGCCCAACCCGAACACAACTTCACATGTCTGGTTTGATGAAAATCGAATCAAACCAACATGTCAAGAATAAAACCCAATACATTCCAAATCAGCCAAGCTTGGTAGATTTTGTGTTGGGTTGGTTGACTCTCAAAGATTCGAAAACATTCACACGAGTTCTCCTCCACTACCACTGCATCCCTATTGTCGCCCTGGAAACCCAAATACCCAATTGCAAGTCTCACCACCACCATAAATAATAAACACTTTGGCATTAAGAAACATGATCGTCTGTATCAGAAGGTATCCAATTGTAGAATTGACTCCAAATAACGTCGTCTCAAAATTTCCCAATGTAGCCCATTCATAGCATATACTGACAAATATTGAGAAAAGTTCATGTGGGGTGCGTTTATTATATTATATTAAAATAAAATAAAAAACATGATTTTTGAATTTTCAAACTATAAACATGATTTTTGAATTGGTGTAAACTAAACACCTTATTTATGAATTTTTCCCATCATGTTACTTGAAGGTAGTGATGGCAACAGGTAAAAGCGGTCGCCAATGCAAATTTTGGTGGTAATAACAATTATTCAAACAGGAACTTTGAATACTAAAGAACGGAAATATTCTATATAAATGACACTTGGATATAGGTTAGTCGATCCAATGAGTCGAGAGAAGCCCGACAGATAGCGTGTTTAGCGCGTGCCTCATAAGGGGATTGAATTAAACATTTTGAACCGAAACGCGTGGTTGACGGCAAAGTTAGGGAGACCTAAGACATTGACGGGGTTTGGATGTGAGTTAAGTTGGGTTCGGAGGTTGATTTGGAGCCCAACCCGAACCCAACTTAACATGTCTGGTTTGATGAAAATCGAATCAAACCAACATGTCGAGAATAAAACCCAATACAATCCAAATCAGCCAAGCTTAGTAGATTTTGTGTTGGGTTGGTTGACTTTCAAAGATTCGAAAAGATTCACTTGAGTTCTCCTCCACTACCACTACATCCCTATTGTCGCCCTGGAAACCCAAATACCCAATTGCAAGTCTCACCACCACCATAAATAATAAACACTTTGGCATTAAGAAACATGATCGTCTGTATCAGAAGGTATCCAATTGTAAAATTGACTCCAAATAACGTCGTCTCAAAATTTCCCAATGTAGCCCATTCATAGAATATACTGACAAATATTGAGAAAAGTAAAGAATTGTGGAGGGTCACCGACCCATTGGACGGTAGCAGTGATTTTTAAGTTTTGACATAAAGGAGCTTGAAGCGAAGGTAGTCCTCCATGTATCTGTAGAAAATGAGGATGAGGAAGTAGTTGTGGGTTGGTCGAATGTGGGTGTCGAGATGCAAGAAGAGAGATGACTAAACTTTTGAATCGGTTTTAGAAATTCATTGGGTTTCGTAAAAAAAAAAAATATTTTTATTAACTGAGCCGAATTAGGTTAGATTGGATTAGTTGGTTTTTAATAGGTAACCCCTAGTAAAATTTGACTATCAAACTTGAACTCAACCCAATTTATTACAAAAATCCCGAAACCAATCCGGTTGGGTTGGATCAATCGATTTTCATGGTTTGGATTGATTTTTACCTTGCCCTAACAACATGACGATGTCAATTGGTTTACGGGACTTAAAATATAGGTGGTTACATTTACACATTATTATTTTGTAATTACACCACATTTTAACTCCATTATTAGGCAATTATCAAGAACTTAATGGAGAAATTAAGTCATATTCATTCAATTCTATAAACAGAGACGGTGGCAAGAATATTTCGCTTCACACGCTTAATCAGTATTTACTTTTATAATTCACTCAAATGTGATTTATTATTAATTGGGCAGACAATAAACATTAATTATTTTTTATATTTTCTATTACCTGAATAATTTTCAATTAATATAATATTTTGAAATCATTTTGCACGATAATGACTTTCCTGTTAGACAATTAGGATTTAAATGCGACTTTATTAGCATTTTCATTTAAAAGCGCCTGCCTTGTTCTTCATAGTCGTCGTCAAAGTTTTCAGGGCACCAATTGGTGTTCATATGAAGATTTCTCCACTGTCGTGAATCAATTTTTATTTGTCCAACAAAGAAAAAAGGAAGTTCCATTTTTTGGAGGTTTGGAAGATTTTTCAATACTCTGATTTTTTTTTTCACGAAGTAAATAATTATATATATATTTTTCGCTAGAATATTATTGTCAATATTTTTAAGGATGTTGATGGATATTGGTTTTTATCTGTTTAGGATTTTTGTTGTAAGAAAAATCTTACGTTTGCTTTCATACTTTTGAATTTGTCTGTAACTTTTTTAGTACCATAGCAAATGATTATTTCAGAAAAAAAAAGTCACTTAAGAGTAATTTTTAAACTTTTGAGTAAATATCACATGACTACTTACTTCCACTAACTGTTTTTGTTTGAAGGGAGCAAAAAAGCTAGAGATGTCATCACCAAACTCGCCACATTATGAAATGGCTCATCATCATGTACATGGATTGCATGTGGGATCATACATAGGAGAATTGGACCGAGAATCATGGAATCAACAATTGCTTAATGTAGAACACGTACAATCCATGACATGGAGGATTAACTTTGGGGGCAATGAGAACGATTATTGTGACAACTATGAACGTGATCCTCTAACAACACATAGAAGCTATTATCCAAGGCCTCCTCCACCCTCCAGGCACATGGGTGGAAGGTCGTTTCCTCGTATGCTTCCAAGGCCACCACCACAGCTTGGTATTCATCCACCAAATCATCACGGTGGCCCTCCCGAGCCACCGTCCCCACCATGTTTCCCTCCATCAAGTCACCACCACGGTCCAACCTCACGACCAGGCCTTCCTCCACCAAATCACCGTCACTATCCTCCACGACCACCTTCCCCACCATGTCTCCTTCAACGGGGTCACCACTATGATCTTCCAATGCCAACACCACGACTAGGCCTACCTCCACCAAATCACCCCCATAGTTCTACAGGATCGCCACCACGAGCATCTCATCATTACCCTCCTGTTAATTGCCATGGCTACTTGAGTGATGAAAGTCCCAATGATTGCACAACGATGTGAAATGATGCAGTAAAAGTTATTACAGTTCTTTAGGTTTTTGATAAATGATCATTCTTTCTTTAGTTTTAGTTCCATTTTTTATTTCGCTTCACTATACGTTGCGTGTAATTTAGTTGGTGCTTTCTCAAAATTTGCTTCATCCTTCCACAATAAGATTCTTTAGCTTTTAAAAAGTATATTCTTTCGAATCCATTAATTGGAATCGAAATCGATAAGTTATGTGAAGAAACAATTACAAAAGTAAAGAATTGTAAATTAACTCGATAACTCACTAACAGGGAAAAAAAATTGTTAATGAGGACAGTTCCCCAACCCCCTAGGAGAGCAGCAGAGAAAAGAACAAATACGACTCTTGCTCTATTTCCTTAGTCGAAATTCAACTACTTCTTGGAATAGATTTAGAGGACTCCAGCATCCTCGGGACCAAGTAGCGCCCTGGCCTCGTTAAATGGTTAGAAATGTAGTGAATTTTTTAGCCCATTGAATTGAGGATCAGAAGCTGCATCGAGTGATCACGTTGGATCAAATTTCGACGGGATTGATGTCAATTGGTGGGTATTTTAGGTTGTATCTTATTTCATTGAAAATGTTTCCCAATGGCCATGTAACAAAGTGCAAAGTGGAATTTGGTTAAGCAACTTTCACATTTGTTGCAATTAAGTCCCTATATACATAGGGGTTAGTAGATTTAACATTATTGCTAACGCATGACATATTTGGTGGTAAGACAAATGAAATTGGTTAGCTGACAAAAACCTATGTTGAATCTAGAAAAAGAAACAAATAATAATAATAAAGGAAGAAAAATTTACCCCAAGGACCATGTTTTTTAAAACACATTTTTTTAGAAAAAAAAATCATCCGTATTTATTAGGAATATAAATGTCGTTGTCATATAAATCACTGGTGTTTCATTTGAACCCTAACTATATAACTCATCCTACATCGACTTCAAAATTGAGAATCGTGTTACAAATAATTGAAAATCATATCATCAGAATGCTCGAAAACAACAATATGAACGTGAGCATGAATTAGGACACTTACATAATGAAGAGCATCGAGTAGGTGGCTGCTATGCCCCATCACATTAATACGAAAATTTTCAACCAGGAGAAATATTATGGGTACCTTTTGCCACCAAATTCGATGGACACAAAATCGACAATACGCTGAGTAGTGACTTAATCGAAATAAATGTGAAAGTTTAGTGACTGGACAAATCCAGCTTGAAAAGTCCCACCTCACAAGGAGTCTTTGCGATGAGCCACGAAGCATTGCATTTGAAATACCACAAATGGAGACGCTTTAATTACTGGTGCAGCTGGTTCCCTGAGAAGACGCCGAGTCTCTCTGATAATTCCTCGAGGTAAATTGCTGTTACCATGAATTGAATTATTGGATGGGAAAAGGTTTTTTCGTTTAATTTTTTTCTCTCTCTCAACAAAGAAAATTTGAATGAGCATCGTATGGAATATGTACCGATTAAGAAACTTCAATTCGCTTGTTATACATATGCTTATGCTGGTTATGAAATATATATAGTTTAATTGGGGTCATATTCTCTGATATACGATGAATATTTGTTTATTGCTTTTATTTCAAACGCAGATACTTGGGCAAATTCTACATGGTGTTCAAATTTCTCTAATTCAGAGAAATGAACTTGGATAATCACTGAATGACTGCGTTATTCAGTGTTCAGATGTCTACACTTCAGTAATGTGAGTTAACCTTGCACTTTTTGTATTTCACTTTCATGAAACTGTGTTCAAATTCATTTCTTGTGTTTTCTCTCTCACTTCTTTCTTTGATATATTTGCAAAAATCCAATTAGTTTAAGTGGATATATTTGTGAATTGATTTGTAATATTTGAAGGTTGAGTTACTTGATTGTTTCAGTGTTTAGACATTTTACAATGAATTTAAATAAAATTCTTTGACCATATTTGAAGTATTAAGGGTAAGGGGTTACCGGCTAATACTTTAGAGAATTTAAAATCAAACCCTCTCCCCCTCTTGTCCGTTTCCTTAACTTCGAAAAATAATAAACAAAAGAGATATAAGAGAACATCGGACTTGATTAATAAAAGAGAGCATGTATTATTGCATACCAGCTTTTTAATACATTGGTTTTGAATATGCATATAATTTAAAAAGCAACAAGCATTGTAACTCGAGGCCAGAAGGTGACTTTTTGTCACGTCATGCTCTATTTTGATTAGATTTAGTATTTCTTGGCAAGCTCTTTTAGCAAAGAGGTGATTGTTTCAGAGCTAAGTGGCTTCTCGACACAGTAATCAAGACCAGCTTCTGTGAATGCTTGTTTTTCGGAGGTCGACCCTCGTGAAGTCACTCCTACAATCACGTTGTTGATACCCATGGATCGAAGCTCTCGTGTAGCCTATTAAACAAAGAATAGTGAAAACCATTTCGCAACAATAAAGATGAATTAATGAGATATTGTTGCGAGTATTATATGTGGAATAGCAGTTGTTCAAAGATATTAATATGAATGCACTTCAAAATCCAGCGGAGAGATATGATAATAATAGTAAAATTTTAAAACATGAAAGAATGCGTTGTTTAGCACCAAAATAAAAGGAATAGTATTTAAATTGGCAATTGTCAATGGAATTAGATTTTTAGTGAAGGTTAGGCTTCAAATTTCTCTCAATGGAGATTTTATCCATAAAATATGTTGCAATTGTTAATATTTTCAATAAATGCATACTTGAATATAAGCTTTAAAAAATTTATCTAAGTATCAAACCTTAGGTCCGTCCATGACTGCCATTTCCATATCCATAAGAATAAGATCGAAATTTTTTCCAGATATATAAAGATCAACAGCTTCTTTTCCGTTTTCAACCGCATGACTTTCAAATTCAAATTTAGTCAAAAGCATCTTATGAATCCTTCGAATGATTTTATCATCATCAACAATAAGCACGGAGAATTTTTGTCCCAAAGCCAAGTTGTTCTTGCTCATCATTTTTCCTAGTAAACACTAAAACCATTTTAGCCATTTGGACACTAGATAAAATGTTAGAAGTTCAATAAAGTATATTGGAAGTGTAATTGGTAAGGTGTTCTAGACAGTGTTGTACAGTATTAATGAAGAAAGAGGCCTAATCTTTTGTCTATTGTACCAGTATTGCGTATCAACGTACCTTTTTTGAGGTTCTCTGAGTAGCTTTCGATGAATTCAACTAGTCACCTCTCAAATGCGTGAGTATGATGTCAAAAATGATAAAACTCAAATGACCTATGATGCTTGCATTGCTACACTGCGTTTATATAAGGTTACCTTTTAGAAAGAAGGCTATCCAAATGATTAAAGAGAATAGAAGCAAGTGAGACCTTCGTGCCTACTTCCAGATTCTTCAATTGTTTTTTGTTACTTTAGCTTGACATATTACTTAGAAGTTATTGAGAAAGTTTTCACATAGATGTATGAGATTATCTGGTGCTAGGATTTTCTTTCCTCTTTAAGGAAAATGTATGTAATGAGGGTGACTGTGCGTATCTGTGCGATTAAAGTTTTGACATTCTCATATTATCTATGTGTTGGATTTGCATTTTTAAGTGATAAGATTATCATTAATAACGTAAGATCTAGAATTCTTTATTTTAGCATCATTCAACATTTTCCATCTCATTATTAGGTATTCAAATTTTATTTAACATCAAATTAATAATATTATTTCACAAGCTGTTGACGACATAGGAAAGATAGGTTAATTGCTCCAATCCTATATGAGCTTCACAATGTAGTTCTTGTAATTTATCAATCCCATTAAGAGTGACGAGTTCTCCTTAATTATGTTAGAAGATGAAGGAACAAACACAAACTAACATGACTTATTGTGGTTGAATTGGATTTTCCATTAGATGTAGCCATAGGTACTTACAAAGAACTCACATAGGTGATCCCATATTTATGTGCTTCCATGTCACAAAGTGAAATGCTCGCGAACACACAAAAACCACGTATAAATGTGTACATGTATGTGCAAATATAAAAGTCTTGAAGATGCTTTGCTAGCTATATAAGTAGGTATGTAACAGCTTATTATGTGGTTGCACATGAAAGCTACCATTTCTCGATATATGTGTGTCGTCCTTGCACATAAGCCATGCTAATCCTTTTTGTATCGTTTCAATTTTATTGAAATGTCCCTGAAGCGACAATTGTACAAGAAAGGTGAATAAACGTTCTATCACCACGTTAACCATGAAAAATGTGTTGGTTGGAGGTACAATAATGCCACGTTTTGTGTTATACATATGTCTGCGCATGCAAACACAGATTTGCATAAACATACATGATCTACCGTAAGAGAAAACACTATAGATACACTCTTAAAGTAAAAGTTGTGGACGATATTCAACTACCTCCACTGAAAATTGTTTACGAGATCATTTACTGATTTTTGTTTTACCATTGGGACTTTTATGTAACTAGGCCTTCACTAATTTTGACATTCCCTTTGAATTCACTTTTTTTTTTTCAATTTATTGGAGGTCTGAATCTTTTAATTTCAATACCACATCAGAAGGAAGAGTAAACAAAAATAAGTATTACTATGCATTGAAATATGCTTGAATTGAGGCCCAGTGGTGCGGAAGCGCTTTTGAAATTCTTGTAATAAGAATGATATTNCGCTTTTGAAATTCTTGTAATAAGAATGATATTTGAACAATCATGTCTTATATATATTGAATAATAATTTATTGTTGTTGAAAGAGTGTACAATGTCTTTAAATTTATAAGCAAAACTATTATCTAATCATATTAATATAAGGAAACTAAATTCTGAAAGGAAATGAATTAAAATCTTAATCTAAAAGAAATTAGAAATCATAATCTAATCGATAAAGAAAAGAAATCATATTCTAAACAAAATATTAGAATAAAAAGTTAAAATTTATTACAACTGGACATCTTATTATAAATATCTAACCCTAATCCTATTTACGATAAGATTATCCTACATTAATCTCTCCTACTTGAAAAAACTCGTCCTCGAGTTTTGTTAAAAAAAAATAATCCTTAATAACTTATATGTATTCGAACTTAGCTGGGACTCGAAGAAATTCTACAGCCACATGTTGCCTTATTCTATGCTTGTTGGAACAACCAACATTCATAGCAGTTAAAGTCTGCAAATTCTTGTCAACTTGCTTCTCCATTGGTTCGCGATTCCTTTTAATACTCAACTACTTCAATATTTGCATAATGTTGTGAAGGGTTTCATCGATCCCCTCGATTCGTTCGAGTTTCTCAAGCCTCCATTCGTCGTCGGCGGTGGTTCAATTACCACCAGGACCATCGTCATCCATTAGATTGAGGCAATTTTCTTTCTCTGATACCAATTTTGATACGGAAGAGTTTTTAAAATTCTTGTAATAAGAATTATGTAATAAATAAGAATGATACTTGAACAATCATGTCTTGTATATATTAAATAATAATTGATTGTTGTTGAAGAAATATACAACGCCTTTGCATTTATAGGCAAAACTATTCCATAATCCTATTATTATAAAGAAATTAAATTATAAAAGAAAATAAATTAAAATCCTAATCTAAAAGAAATTAGAAATCATATTCTAATCAATAATAAAAGAAATCATATTTTAAACAAAATATTATAATAAAAGATAAAATTTGTTACAACTAGATATCTTATTATAAATATTTAATCCTAATCATATTTACGATTAGATTGTCCTACATCACCCAGGATATAAGCCCATTTAGCTTTTAAAGGGACGAACCTGAAACTCGAAAATCTTATAGGCCTTTGCCAACTAATCTGTGTATATGATATTCACTTTTGGGTTCTAATGCTAGGGGAATTGGCTCAAATAGCATTAAGTCCCATTTTCATCATCATTCTGTAAAAAATCATTTTTTTTTTTGGGGAAAAAATCATAAATACCTTACAAATATATAAATTTTTATTTTATACTATTTAACTATAATAAAATGAAATTACTATAACAATCAAAAATAAAACCAAAAATATTGTATCCAAAACTTTCCAATTTTTCACTAGGTACAATCGAAATGGATGGAATTAATTGAAATAGCTGAATTCTCGGGAATTGAAATTCAAATCAAGAAATAGGAAATACGACGAGAGCAACAATGAAGACATTGAAGAAATATTATTCGCGCCCGTGATAAATTGTCTTTGGGTAAAGTATCATTATCGGTTATATCTATATTGTAGACATCTGTTGAATAGATTTACCGAAAAACAATTCAAGGAACGAGTAATTAATAGATAAATGTAATTTCTTCGAACTCGTTTTAGTTATATTGTATTTGTCTTGATTATGCGATCTTATGTCGGATTGTTTTCATTTGCTGTTTTGCTTGATGTATATGAATTTACCAAGAATCAATTTCATTTTCACAAAAAGATGTCTTGTGTTTTAGAATGTTGCATACTGATTACAAAAAAATTTAGTTTTGGCTTCATGATGAATACCAGATTACTAATGAGTTCTTATACATGATTACATTATTTTATGTATCTTACATCCTCAATTAAAATGCACAAGAACATACATTTCGACCTACATATCACAATCTTCATAACGCTGATTAATATCTCAAAATGTCTGTTTTTTAATCATTATATTCTTCTTGTTGCTGCTTGATCAAACTACCAAAAAATAAATTACGTTGGATCCTGTTTAAATATTCTGACATTCATGTACATATACTTCGTGTCTCTGTCTTCTGCACCTGATTTCACAATACGTTGAAATCTTGGAACCATATTTTTGTGACTGTAAATTAGCAGTGTTGCTAATCTTAGATATTCTGATAGAACACACATGATGATTTCATTCCCAAAATCTGAACATTATGCGTGCGACATTACATATGAAGTTGATTTCATATTTTCGGTTTTGTACTAAGAACAATATACACCTTTCAAATCTTTTTTTTTTTGGTTTGAGATATGGAATTCGTCTTCGTAACATGCAATGCAATGACTGGTATTCTATTATCTAGATTCTAGTGGATGCTAGTATGATGAACTTGTTGAGATGATAAGCGTCGAGATGAAAGTCGATAAAAAGACTTCTTGCTTAAAAAATTGATTTCGATGTAGGTGATCACATGGCCCCGGTGAGGATAAAGAATAACAATTAATATATGTTCTATATGGGGCTAAAGAAGAAGGATCCCCGAATTACAGCATATGCACTATGTGTTGAAGTAGTGAATGTGTCCAACCAATATGCAGATGAAGTGGATCAAGAAATACAGAGTCCAAAGTAACCATTTTTTCCTGAATTGGAACCTCGACAAATTTATCTCTCTCTGAAACCTTCAGCTATTGCAGTTCCAACAGTGCATGACTTCGCATCAACCATGGAGATGACAAACCAGCCACTAGTTGATGAGGATTTTGAGTACAATACTGTTGTGTTGCCTGGGCCTGGTGTTGAATGTGGTGTTGAAAATCAGGATGGATTTTCGCATCTAAAATGTGGAGAACATGGATAATGAACGATTCCGAAGATCGATCTTGAACTGGAAAATGATTTTTTGGGATCCATTTTGTAGTTCTTTGAATGATGAAGATGATGGAAATTGGGGTTTTTCGTTAGTTCTTTTGTTTGATGGTGAGGACGTGATTCTAGGTCATTCTGGACGTGATTATGGGCATGATTTAGGTTGATTTTGTGATAATGCTAGTTTAGTGGAGCGATTTTAGCATATAAATGAATTAATTTTAAAGATTAAAGTGATTTGTTGGTATTTCATTTTACTGCACCAATTTTAGTATTTTTTAGATTAAAATTAGTTGAAATGTAAAATTAGAAAATGTTTCCATTTAACAGTAGTGGGCGAAATCTCTCTCTCTCTCTCTCTCTAAACTTATTTTCAACCAAATATTCTTTTAATAAAATAATTTTACACGTAAAATCAAAACCCTTCCCTACTTTTTAAATACATATTTTCAA